TTTTTCCCCCCAAAGCCCCATTACATAGTTGTATGTCATAGCTGCACATCCTTCTAGTTGCTGCATGTGGGACGCAGCCTTAGCATGGCTGGAGAAGTGGCGCATCGGTGTGGGCCCGGGATCCGAACCCGGGCCGCCAGCAGCGGAGCATGTGCACTTAACCACCAACCCACGGGGCTGGCCCAAAAAGTGACTTTTTTTGGGGGTTTTTTTTTTGAAGAAGAAGAAGATTGGCCCTGAGCTAACATCTGTTGCAAATCTTCCTCTTTTTCTTTTTTCTCCCTGAAGCCCCAGTACATAGTTGTATATCCTAGTTGTAGGTCCTTCTAGTTCTTCTCTGTCGGTCGCCATCTCAGCATGGCTTGATGAGTGGTGAGTAGGTCCGCACCCAGGATCTGCACTGGCAGACCCCGGGCCGCCAAAGCAGAACACACAAACTTAACCGCTACGCCACTGGGCCGGCCCCCAAGTGTAAAGTGGCATTTATAAGAGTAAAGTGACTCTGGATGATGAGGAAGAAATGAGTTTTATTTTCATTTCAGTAATTAAAACCTTGGGCTGATTAAAGAAAATGTTTTGATGTATTTTTCCAATAAACTTCTTTAAAGAGTATTTCCATCATTGTTTTTTCTCTTTTAGCTTTCTCGAATGGAATATGTGCATTCAAAGAATCTCATTTACCGAGATGTCAAGCCAGAGAACTTCCTGATTGGCCGACAAGGCAATAAGAAAGAGCATGTCATACACATTATAGACTTTGGACTGGCCAAGGAATACATTGACCCTGAAACCAAAAAACATATACCATATAGGGAGCATAAAAGTTTAACTGGAACTGCAAGATATATGTCTATTAACACACATCTTGGCAAAGGTTTGTTTATTTTCTGTTCCATGATAAGGGGCTGGTTGTTAAAACAACTTTTTATTCCAATAACATTTTTGTCCCCATTGTGCATTACAACTTGTGATTCTTATTGCTTCACAAGGTAAGTGATTTTTATACTTGAGGAATTAAGATGATAAGTTAGTGACCTTCCCAAGAATCCTGTTGATAACTTAAGGATTTTTTTTTGTGTGTGTGGGGAAGATCAGCCCTGTGCTAACATCTGCCAATCCTCCTCTTTTTTTTTTGCTGAGGAAGACTGGCCCTGGGCTAACATCCATGCCCATCTTCCTCCACTTTATATGGGATGCCACCACAGCATGGCTTGCCAAGTGGTGCGTTGGTGTGCGCCCGGGATCCGAACCAGTGAACCCCGGGCCGCCGCAGGGGAGCGGGCGCGCTTAACCGCTTGTGCCACTGCGCCGGCCCTGGATTTTTAATTCTTTATACTGTGTTTCCAAATGCCTAGTTTCTCCGCAGTGTGGGTACTTGAATAACTGTATTAAGCTGATAGCATTTTGGTAAGTTTAGTGATAAGTGTGGTATTTACATATGAATGGTCCCATATCTGATAATCCTTAAAAAGGACATCAGGCTGGTATCTGCTCTGGGGAAGAGTGCTTCACTAAAACATGGACTACTGTTCACTGTGCATAATTACATGAATAATTCTTCAGGGAAGAGCCTATGTCTTATTCAGTGAAAATGTATTTACTTTTCCATGAAACTTGTGTTTTATTCAGGGATAAACAATTTGCACAAATATTGCTAAAAGCTCTAATCAAGGCAGAAGGCCTTACTTGTTAGAGAAACTATTTTCGATAAAAGCCTAGGCAACAGTGGGAAGGCCAAGTAGGAAGGGCCCTGGGCCCCTCACCAGCTTCTCCAGAGAAGTTTCCCTTTTTATCTGTGTTATATATTGGGCTTTCATGGAAGATTCTATTTGAAGGAAAGGTTTCAAGGTGATTGAAAAAATTTATTTGAAAATCACCACCCTAGAGAGTAGACATGTAAACAGAGTATTACCAGGTTTCATACGCCTAGATATAGCTAGTTATATCAGATGTTTAAGTATTAATGAACTGTTTACACTAATAAGTATGTTAGAGACTAATGTAAAGAACTACCAAGTTGCCTCATGGAAGAAACTGCACAGGTATTCAGGAGAGGATTCTAGTATTAGTGAAGAGTAAAAATGACATTACAATGTAGTGTGATACAGCTTGAGCTGAAATCATGAATGCTATCAAGATTTTTTCAGTAACCACGTGGAAATCCTCACTTAACTAAGTGTAATACTTGAAAATTAGACTAGAAGGTCATCTGCCATTTATTATTGGTGTCCCTTTGTATAAGTTAATCTCCCTGAAACTTATCTGTAATATGAGAGTAACATTTCACACGGATGTTTTCAAGGTTGAAAGGGTAATATATGTAACACAGGTCTCTTTCATAGTGCTCAGTAGTCCCTTCTTCCTTCCTTTTTACAAAGAGACAGACTGTGTCGTAAATAGTAAAATCATGATTATTTGGTTTAGCTGACAGACTCTAGAAGTTGTTCTAATGCCTGCCTCCTGGGCTCAGCAATTTGTGTTCTGCTTTTATTGTTCTTATCAGGAAAGGCAAGAACAGACGGGGGGTGGGTTTCAGTGTTATGTTTGTATAAAGTACAGTGTAAAGGTTAAGAAAAAGGGATGCAAATCCTGGCTCTTTCACTTCAAGCTATGTGATTTTGGTCCAATAACCTTCTTCCCTTGGCCTCAGTTATCTCATCTATGAAATGGGTGTGATAATAGTACCTTATGTCTTAGAGTTCTGTGAGAAAATGCATAAAAAGTGTTTAGCATAGTGCCTGGTAATAGTATAGACTCTATAATGGTAGTTATCGTTTAGTTATTCTACAAAATATGTTTTAAGCATCTACTGTCACCAGACTGGGTTCCTTCATCTGGTTTAGCCTTTCCTGCTGGAAATTTGAGTTGATCTCCAAACTCAGACTTCCTGGGTTGCAGAGTTTTTTAGGTCAGATCCAACCTGTCACCATATTTTGTCCTCTCTACATTACAGAGAATACATATAGATGGCTGTCACATGCCCTTTAAACTCTGGCCAGGGTGTCAAACCAGAGAGGTTTTTATAGGAACTCTGATCCTACTGGTTTTTAAATGTGTAGCATCTTTTATGTTGTAATGAAGAAAAAGGGAAGTGTATCTTTAAATGACTTGGAGAGAATTGCCTATTAATTTAGTGAGGAAGGGAACAAGGGAAGAAGCCTCCTAAACCTGATATTACCGCATCAGATTGGCCACCTTCCCACTGATGAAGCCCTGATTAAGACAGCCCATTTTGTATTCTTTACATCTTTCCGATTGGTTGAAAGCAAGTTTTTTATGGTGTTGAAGAATTTTGTATCCTACTGGTCTCACTGGTATTAAAACCTTTCTTCTTTGAAAATGAAAATATGCTGCATGAAAAAACAAGGGCATGTGGAAATACTGAATTGAACAAATGTGGAGTGTTCAAAGAAATATGGAAATAAAGCATGGCTTTGGTTTTCACTCTGATTTTTTTCTTGAAAGGCGCTAATGACTCAAATTATAGATTATTTTAGAATTTTAGAGCTGGAAAATGACTTTTTAGATTATTTAAATCAACTACTTTATTTTCAGGTAAGGAAATTGAGGCCCAAAGTAGGTGATTTGCTCATGCTTAGTTTCACATGGATTAAATTAATGGAAAGGATGGGCCAAGGAACTATTTTTTTTCCTATTATCCTATATTCCACAGCTATTTTTTATGGTTCTCAGTATTTGAAAAGTTACTTTATTACTAATTCCAGTGACTTTAAATGTGTTTTGTTTATTAGTTTTTTGATTTTTTTAAAATCTCCTTTTATAATGGGCTTTGCTATAAGGAGTTTGGCTTTTTTCTCAATATTGAAAATGTGGTGAGTTTCGCCCTCTAGTGCTCAACTAACTAAAGTGCAACTATTTGTCCAGTGAATTTTTTATTACCAAGGGACTTTTTGTTACAGGAAGTGAATATAAAAATGGAAAGACGATGAGTAGGTGTGATATAGTGTGAGAAACTGCAAGGTGTGGTTTCTCTATCTGCCCTGCTTTGTAGGAGGCCTCAAACCACCCTGCATATTCTTTTTTTTATTTGTATATCTTTAGGTTTTGTTAACAAACTCGGTTGTTTTCTAATGGCTTTTGGTTTTCAATTATATATAAAATTTATTGCAAACTTCAGGCAAGCCATGTAGACAAAAGCTTCTGATGATTTTGCTGTTTTGTTTCATTCTTTTAAAGATTATTTCAGTTGATATGCATCAACTCAATTTTATGTTATATGTATCTCTTGTCAGGGTGCCTCCCCTTCCTATTAGTGACCACCTGTGCAAAAACCTCCGTCAAACTGCAATTTAGAAACTTGCCTTTGTTTCTTCATCTACCCTGTAAAGTTCTGTTCACTCTTTTTCATGCAAATTTCCCATAATTGGAGGCAGCGCTTAAACATGTTGTGCTTTTGTATTTTGAGTTAGCTGAGTAGCTTTCCCTGGCTCCCTGACTCTCTTAGGTTTTCCTTTCTGCACAAAGAAAGCACAATCAAGTTTAAGGTAACCCCTTAGTATTGCTTCTGTAATTTCTTTTGGTAAAGCCCTAAACTTGATTCTGAAAAATAAACACATAAAATGTCTGAGAGGAACCATAATTGGCAAATCAGAAATGGAGGAATGGGGGCCGGCCCTGTGGCTTGGTGGTTAAGTGCACGCGCTGCGATGGTGGTGGCCCGGGTTCGGATCCCGGGTGCGCATCGAGGCACCACTTCTCCGTTCATCCTGAGGCCGAGTCCCGCATACAGCAACTAGAAGGATGTGCAGCTACGACATACAACTATCCACTGGGGCTTTGGGGGGAAAAAAAAAAAAAAAAAAATTTAAAAAAAAAAAAAAAAAAGAAATGGAGGAATGGACGACTTACTGTCAGTCTGACAACCAAAGAATGTAGAGGATATTTTCTGAGATGAGGTTATAGTTTTTTATTAACTGTTCTGCAGTTCTTTACCGTCTTAATTTTCGCAATTAAGAGGAAAGAAAGAAAAACCCAGCAACTTGTTTTATATGGTAAGCTCCTAGAATGCAGGGATCCTGTTTTATGTGCCCATAAAGGACACCTTAGTAACAAGTTTTAAATTTTTCTTTTTTTATTTTATTTTTATTATTATTAAAGATTTATTTATTTATTTTTCCCCCCTAAGCCCCAGTAGATAGTTGTATGTCATAGCTGCACATCCTTCTAGTTGCTGTATGTGGGACACGGCCTCAGCATGGCTGGAGAAGTGGTGCATTGGTACGTGCCCGGGATCTGAACCCGGGCCGCCAGCAGCGGAGCGCGCGCACTTAACCGCTAAGCCACGGGGCCGGCCCTAAATTTTTCTTAAGGTGGCTGTGGAACATGGCACAAATGGAATGGAGCTGAGAGATTACGCATTGGTAGTCACGTATATCAAACTAAATTTTAAATCTTAATTTTTATGAATAAAAAGTGCCGGGCATGTGTGCTAGGCATTCTGCAGCTTGTCTTCGCGGGCCTAGCCAGAATGGACTGTTAACAGCTTCAGCTGCATAATCTGCTGCTCACTTTCCGTGATGGTAATGAAGGGTAATTGTAGCCCCATATACTGGAAATAACATTTCATTTAAATTGTCTTACTTTCAGGAAGGTAACAGCATTGAATGAGAAGTGGTTACTCATCGTTTAGTGATTTGGACGTGGTTTTAGTTTAGGATTGTCTCTTTTCACTTGATATTTACTTGCTAGTGACAGATCTAGGCAAAGGAAGTAAACATTGTTTTTTGGTTTTGATCTAAAATACTATCCTAGGGCCGGCCCCGTGGCTTAGCGGTTAAGTGTGCACGCTCAGATTACTGGCGGCTCAGGTTCGGATCCCGGGCGCGCACCAACGCACCACTTCTCCAGCCATGCTGAGGCCGCGTCCCACATACAGCAACTAGAAGGATGTGCAACTGTGACATACAACTATCTACTGGGGCTTTGGGGGAAAAATAAATAAATAAAAATTAAAAAAAAACTAAAATACTATCCTGGTTTAGATATACAAAGAATTTGTAAGCAGAACCTTTCTAGACCAGAAGGGTTTCCGAAGGGATTACTTGGTTTTGAACCCCTTTCTGCTTTAATAACTGCAAACATAATGTGTGATCTGTCTTCTCTTTTAGAGCAAAGCCGGCGGGATGATTTGGAAGCCCTAGGCCATATGTTCATGTATTTCCTTCGAGGCAGCCTACCCTGGCAAGGACTCAAGGTATCCTTGAAAGTGCTCAGTGGAGGGCTTTGTTTCAATACTCAGTTGTTAATGAAGAGGCTGACTTGATGTCTGTAAGAAGTACAAAGGGGAATATGGGCTACAGAGATGAGAAACAGGGACTGGTTACATCAGCCTATATTATAAACGTTCACCTGGGCCTTGGAAGCTCTGTTTTTGCTCACAATTGTCTTCTTCCCCTTCTGAATCCTTCTTCCTTGTTTTTGGGTTTTCCATAATCTCTTCCCTCATTCCCTCCCAGCCTTGCCAGTGCTGCTTTTCCCTCTGTGTCAGTATTCCTCCTCCACTACCATTACATAGAGGGAAGAGTGTTCCCAGTGTGTTGAGGAATGCTGGAACAAATTGATGGCAGCAGCTGCTACACATTTTACCAGAAGGCCAGCAGGGCTGGGTGTGCCCCTAAGGGGGACTGGAAAATATTTGTTCATCCTGTATAGCCTAAGGGGCCACCTGAACTAAAACAAAAATTCAGGTTTAACATTATTGTTTGAGTGTTTTATTGAATAAATGCCTGTGCAAACAATAGTCATTCCTTGTGAAACATGTAAACAGCCTTCCTTAGTAGGTAGCAATACAATTATAACCATTGTAATTACTCTGTTCCTTTGGCTGTTAGACTAGGAAATGGTGAGCTTCTAATCCATTCTAAGTCCTATTAGATAGTTAAATGTGAGACACATTTTTTTTAAATATTTTTTTTTATTTTATTTATTTATTTTTCCCCCAAAGCCCCAGTAGGTAGTTGTATGTCATAGCTGCACATCCTTCTAGCTGCTGTATATGGGACGCAGCCTCAGCATGGCCGGAGAAGCGGTGCGTCGGTGCGCACCTGGGATCTGAACCCGGGCTGCCAGCAGAGGAGTGCACACACTTAACCACTAAGCCACCGGGCCGTCCCTGAGACACGTTTTTGAGTTGTAATTTATTTCAACATGTTGGTTTGAAAAAAAACTTAATCAGTAGCTTTGGGTACTCCTACACCCCCTCCCTCCCTCCAGAAGGGCAGAATGATTCATTTTGCTGTGCTTTCTAGGACATTGTCCTGAAAATTAAGGCTTCTTCTCCTTCCCTTTGGGAAGATTTTATTTCTTCCACTTAAATCCCTCTCCTAACATCTCCTCCATGGCCTTCTCCTAGTCATGTATATCTTCTCACTGATCTTGACAGCTGTCAAATAGAGTTTTACACCCTATTTGCTCATCATATAGCCAAAGAATGCATTTTTGTATTATTTAATTGCTTGCAACTTTCACAGTCCATGAATCATTTTAGTGGTAATTGTAGATCTAAAATTTCTCCAACTTACTTTAGATCACTCTTGCCTGGGTGTAGCAGGCTAGGTAGAGCCTCACAAGAATCCCTTGAGGCCATGTTGTTGGTCCAAGCTCCAGGAGCCCTCTAAAGTGCTGAGCAGACTAGGCTTGGCTGCTTTGAGCCACTGATGGACATATATCAGACCTGTCTGTTAGCCATCCCTGTATCATAGATAACATTTTTCCCTCTGGAAGCACATTGTGGAAAGACATTTTTTCTACTTCTTGTTCTTTTTTCTATTCAACTTCACAATAAATATCCTGTGGAGTCATCTATCTATCTGCCCCCACTTGGATTAACAACACTTTTAATCTTATCATAAAGCTGATCTAAGAAGGGGAAGGCTGAATCACTTTCGAATCCTTGTGGCCATGGAAGATTACTAAGCTTCTGCAATTTTGAAAATATTGCTACATGATATTTTTATTTTCTTATCCTAACCACTCATCTCATTACATTTGATGGTATTTATCTGAGATTACTAAATATATTTGCAAGCAAAACTTTCTAGAGCAGGTGTTTTGTACATATCTAAATACATCATCTCTACTACATTTCTTATTTCTTAGTGTTAGAGAGAAAAAAATTAAGACTGTATAATAAATCCTGCCAGTTTGAGGGAAACAACCATTGTGTCCCCAAACATATTAGACCTCCCATACTTAGTGCCTCTTTTGAAATAACTTTCTCTCTTTATTCTCTGCAGGCTGATACGTTAAAAGAGAGATATCAAAAAATTGGTGACACCAAAAGGAATACTCCTATTGAAGCTCTCTGTGAAAACTTTCCAGGTAGGATGCTAAAAGGACACTTCAGCCAATGTAACTGAGCTTTGAAGTAGTTAGAGACTGTGACTTGGTATCTCTAGATAAGGGTGCTCTCCAGAAAATTTATCTTTCCTTTCATTGTTATTTAGACCAAGATAGGTTTTATCACTTTCGTTTGGTCCATAAAGAAAACACCAGTGTCAGATAGTCTGTATAAATATTCCTTGCTTGGCCAAGAGCTTCTCCCCATGGGAAACATTCAGCTAATGAGTATGGCCTTTCACCTCTCTCCTAACAGAGGAGATGGCAACCTACCTGCGGTATGTCAGGCGATTAGACTTCTTTGAAAAACCTGACTATGAGTATTTACGGACCCTCTTCACAGACCTCTTTGAAAGGAAGGGCTACACCTTTGACTACGCCTACGATTGGGTTGGGAGGCCTATTGTAAGTATCCTCTCACCTCAGACTAGCACTACCTCACCCCTTTACTTGCCAGACTTGCTGCTTAAGTCTGTGGGAAAAAAACACTCCTTTGACTGTAGACTTTACATTTACCAACCTTTTCAGGGTGATGCCATTGATTGTTCTTACTAGAGTTAGGAAGTAGGAGTAACTTCTTTATATGTTTTTAAGATTATGACCAGTATGTCCTAAGATACCAGAATTGAAGCCAGTTTTTAAGAAGTTTCATTTGAATGATCCAGAAGCTGGAGCTACTACATAAGCTGTTAAGGTGCTTTAACAGACTTCTATAGGAGTGGAACCCAGCACCATAGGAAACTTTTGAATTTGCTCTTCTGGCCAGGGGTCCCCAGGGCCTGAGAGCATGCTAACAGACATCACTGTAGGATTTTTTTTTAATTTTCAAAGGTAAGCTACTCTCCAGTGAACTATTGCCTCCCTTTTGCAGATAAGCAAACTGCGAAGACAAGAAGACTTGAAACTGCCCTTGGTGGCTGAAAATAATAATTACTGTTATTCTGTTAGAATTAGACTTAGAATAATGCTGTCCTTTGCACAGGCATTAAGTTGGACCTGTTTTCCCCATTTGACTTTTTGTTACATTTTTCTAGCCTACTCCAGTAGGGTCAGTTCATGTAGATTCTGGTGCATCTGCAATAACTCGGGAAAGCCACACGCACAGGGATCGCCCATCACAACAACAACCTCTACGAAACCAGGTATGTGTTGGACCTTCATTGTTTCAGACGTTCCTCTTCTTTGTGGCTAATATTAAAACCTAAATTCTTCAGCTTCTCTGCTTCAGTGTATATATTGAAATTAAAGACAAAGGGCTTGCCGTTTCTCCCTGGAGTGGTGTGGCATTCTAGCATCCCTCAGGGCTTGTGTCATGGCACTGAGATATGGCCAGGTGCCTTACACGAAGCATCCACTTTAAAGAAACTGTGTCTGTCAGAGTCTGTTGGCTGAAAGGGGCAGTCTGCCACAGGCCTAAGGGACATGCTGGACATATAGGATGTACAGGGTAGCCCACTTTGGGTCTCATCTGCAGTCCAGTGTGAAACTCTTGTCAATGCTGATTTTTCCTTGCTGGTTAAGAAGGGTGGGTAATTTGGACTTGCAACTGAGTTGGGCATGAACTGGCACCTCCACTCCACATCTGTCCCTGTACCCAGGTTAATTCTAGAGTGACCAAGATCTGAGATAGACCTGCAGTGAAGACTCAGCTTTGCTTTAGGCCACTCCAGAGAAGGCTATGTCATTTGTCCTTCATTGTTCGTGGTTTGGGAAACTAGTGGTCTGGATGAGAGGCTTCTCTCAGCCTAAAGACAGGAAACAAACCTACAAAAAAATCAACAAATTTGACCACATTTAAAGAAAGGAGTAACTGGGAAGTATTATGATGATTTTTGTCTTTATATCACATATATTGCTAAGAGTAAAATGAGGACCCCGGTAGATAAACAAGCAAAGAATAATAAACAGATACACACACAAAATCGTTATCACCTATCAAATTAGCTTGCTCCCCCTCACCCCTGACCTCATTTTTCTATATTCACAAACATATTTACAATAAAATGCAAAAACATTTATCATCTCACAGATGCACATATGAAAGTACGTAGGTTAAAAATAGTATATAGAAGTACATACACAAATATAGGTGGAATCACCAATAAGTACATACTCTTGGCAAACTGTGTGGCTTGATGAATAAGAAAAAAATGTGTGAAGGAAATCGTATTAAAGAGTCGATAATAGGGAGAGTAGGTCGGCAAAAAGATGGGGTTTAGCAAACTGTGTAAGTTAATTGTGTCCATAGTTACATACTTTAATCAAAGTAATTGGCTAAGAATTATAATTTGACTGACTTCTGATTTGACAACAGAATATTGTTGACTTTTACAATTATTCTCTCCTACCCCCTTTTTAAAAAACATAGTTGAGTGCACAGTTAAACTGACACTCTCATACGTTGCTATTGACTTTGCAAATTATTACAAATTCTCTAGAAAGTAATTTGATAAAGTTGCTGTTGGGGCTGGCCCCGTGGCCTAGTGGTTAAGTTCAGCACACACTGCTTTGGTGACCCAGGTTCAGTTCCTGGGCACAGACCTACACCACTCATCAGCGGCCATGCTGTGGCAGCTACCCACATACAAAATAGAGGAAGACTGGCATGGATGTTAGCTCAGGGTGAATCTTCCTCAAGCAAAAAGAAGAAGATTGGCAACAGATGTTAGCTCAGGGCCAGTCTTCCTCAGCAAAAACAAAACAAAACAAAAAAGTTACTGTCATCTCTGATAGAATAATCTTACTTCTTGGAATCAATCATAAAAAAACAACCCAAGATATAGATTAAGTCATGTGCATAAAACTGTCACAATGTCATTTGTAGCAAAGTTTTAGAAATGATCCACCTATCCAGTTATAAGGGAATGGCTATGGATCCAGCTCAAGTTCTTTATCAAATAAACTGGGTTATAATAAAGTGAATTGTAATGCATTTATTCAGGGGAATATTATATAACCACTTAAAATAATATTTAGGAAAACTTGTAGCAACCTGAAAATGTTTATGGTTTGTATGGTGAAGAAATCAGAATAGAAAGTTAGAAATACCTCATGATTTCCTCTCAGGGGAAGGGAATATGAGAAAATCAATGGGAGGAAATAATGCCAAAATATTAACAGAAGTAGTGTTGGAAGTGGTAGTATTGTGGGTAATATTTTTCTAAACAATTCTATAATGAAGTTAGATTACCTTATAATGAAAAATGCATTTAAATAGAAAAAATACAGAAAAAAAAATTTTAAGTAGTCGGTGAAGTCATAATCAACATATCTGCCTACTTCACATTTTTAGAATGTTTTAAAACTAAAATATGTGTTTCCTTTAGGTTCCCTTTTCTGCTTCAGTGAATTTATAATCAGTGCTGCTATTTTGAATACATTTTAAATTATGGGGAAAAGAGAAGGTTGAAAACCTAGATTGCCAGAGTGAAAAATGAGGTCATACCTAGTATCTGAGTAAAAGTGTGGTGAATTTCAGTGTGCATTTCAGTGAAAGGTTGTTACACCAGCATATATAATTAGGAAATTTCATCTGCAAGGCAATAAGCTTCTTTCTGAAGAGTTGAATCTTGAAAGTCTCTGTTTTTTTTTTCCTTTTTGGGTTTTTAGTATCCCATGGCTGCTAAGAGATTGAAATTCCCCAAAGTTAATGCAAGTTTTATACCTCCTTCCCAGCAGGATTCTGAAGTCTTGCTGGGTAGAATTCTTTCTGCATTGTGCACTGTGGGTAAATGGATTTCTGGTGTCTGTTCAACCTTTACACTGTATCTTAATCTGTGGTCTCATTGCTTTTGTTCCATCTTTAGGGTTGTTTTCTTATGCTTTTTTCTTTTCCTTTTTTTTTTTACGAAAAATTGCAGCCAAATACATCTCTTTTATGACTCTAGGAATTGAAAGCAGTATGACTTTTTAGACTAATTCTTTTCAAGTTTTGAAATCAGCAAAAGAAGAAAAGTAAAATCTCTACTTGAGAGAGATTGAAAGGTATTAACTTTACTTCAGGGATAGTTAGTCTTATTTCAGCAACTTTGAGTTGGTAAATCTAGCTGAGGACCTGCTACGTGAAAGTATGTCCTGGAGATACTAAGATAAGTAAGGAATCCTTGTCCTCAAAGAATTGACAAGCAGATAAGCCAAGTAGCCAGATAACTATAAAACAAGGCAGAACAGATAATCATCCCAAGTCGCAAGTTATTATCATCAGGGATTGGAAAAAGGAGACATTTCATTCTAGTCTGAGCATGACAGAGTTTTATGAAAGAAGCTGTATTTGAAATCCTCTTGAAAGAATTAAGTGGAAATGAAAGGCATTTCAAGCAAAAAGAAAATATGAGTAACAACAAATTACAGTCATATATCACTTAGCAACGAGGATGTGTTCTGAGAAATGTGTCATTAGGTGATTTCGTTGTTGTGCGAACACCATCGAGTGTGCTTACACAAACTTAGATGGTATAGCCTACTACACACTTAGGCTATATGGTACTAATGTTAAGGGATCACTATCATATATGTGGTTTGTCATTGACCAAAACGTGTGTCACATGACTGTATGTAGTTTAATTTTGCTAAAGTATATGGTGTGAATAAAGGGGACAAGACTAGGAAAATAGGTTGGAACCATTTGATGAAGCTCCTGGAATGCTGGGCTGAAGAGTTTGTACTTAATTTCAGTAAGGAATAGGTACTAAAGGTTTTCAAACAGAGGGGTGATATGATCAAAACTTTGCTTTAGAAATCTTTTGGCACAGGGCTGGCCCCGTGGCTTAGCGGTTAAGCGCGCGCGCTCCGCTGCTGGCAGCCCGGGTTCGGATCCCGGGCGCGCACTGACACACCGCTTCTCTAGCCATGCTGAGGCTGCATCCCACATACAGCAACTAGAAGGATGTGCAGCTATGACATACAACTATCTACTGGGGCATTGGGGAAAAAAAAAAATAAATAAAATTTTAAAAAATTAAAAAAAAAAAAAAAAAACCTTTTGGCACAGAAGGTGGTAATAGCCTGATAGCCAGCATAGAGACCAGTAAGAAGACAGTGAGTTCCCTTAAGAAGTAAAGGGGGCATAGATGGGCTGTAGCAGTGAAAATGAAATAGAATTGAAACGTGATACAGGGATATAATCTACCAGAATTGGCAGCCTGCATGTATGTCAGGGTTGAGGGAGAAGAATGAGTTAAAGCTGTTGCTGAGATTTTAAGCCTGGATAATTAGGAAACAGGTGGTACTGTTGATACAAATGAGACAGTTGAGGGAGAAACTAATTTGGAGTTTGAATTTAAGTATCTTGAGTTTTAAATACTAGCAGTGTATTCCAGCTGAAGATAGCTAGCAGGTGGAGGATAGCTCCCAAAAGAAAACTAGAGAGATATTTGGAAGTCAAGGCATGGAGATGACGTTGATGACAATGCATAAAGAGCCTCCTTATTCTGGGTAGATCTGCCCATCAATTCTGTGAGACTGGTGATTAATAGGCTCTGGTTAGTCCCATGCTTAGATTAGGAAGAGAAGGAAGAGGAGCTCAGAAGTTGGTTTTAGCTTATCCCGAGACTTTGGCCATAGGACAGTTTTCAGTTTTGGGGGCCTCAGTTTTCTCAAATGTAAGCCTTGTAAGGGCAGAGATTTTTATTTTGTTCACTGCTGTATCCCTAGCACCTAAAACAATGTCTGGAATAGTAGGCACTGGATAAGTAATTGTTTGAATGAATGAATCTGTCAGATGAGTATAGATGAAATCAGATGTTTGTTTAAAATATAGATTTTTAATTAACTTTCCGTAAGAAATAAATTTTCAACTTTTCCTCCTACTTGTTTTCTGTTTCCACAAGGAACCATTCTGCCTCTTTTGGCAGCCAGAGTAGGCACTGGATTGTCTGCTCAAGGGGAAGGGTGTAAAGAAACGCAGCAGGCTCTTGCTGCAAAGTAAGTCTGGGTGGTTGTATTAGTTCTCCTTCATCACAGTGAGAATTTTCAGGGCAATTTGCTTTGCTGGTCTAGATTGAAGCTATATTGAATTGAGTATTGTTTGGTTCCTAGATATAATAGATCTCAAATATGGTTCACAAAGAACTGCATTTAACCTCACCTATATTCGATCTGTCTTTTAAAACTATTTTAAAAAATATCACATGCTTAAGAACAATTTTTTGAACGTTATTTTAACCAGCTAGAGAATGGTAATTAAATTATGGGTTTAGATAGAATAAATATCCCTAAAAGCTAGATCCATTCAGAAAGATCCCAATGGATTAGTCTTTCCTACCATTTTACCCTTGGTATTTATCCTTTCCTGGTTCCAAAGATGGTAAATCTTGCCATGGCTCTGGTTCCCCTCTCAAGAACTCTACATTACCGTCCATCAGGAAGAGGATGAAAACTTTAATGGTACTGTCTGTTTCTACCTGGCAAAGCTTCCCTTGTAGTCTCTGATCAAATTCGATCAGGAAGTAAGTCCTGCCAGTATCCAGAGATCTAATATTGGAGCACAGTATATTGTACTGTTGAAAGTTTTATTCCGTGTGTTTGTTCAACACACTAAATACAGAATATTGCATTGACTAGGATGTGCATGCAGCAACACACTTCCTGCTGTTTCAGAACTTTAAGCTTGTGACAATCCTTACTCAGATAAATGCTACACAAACATATACTACCATGGTTCAGCAGTTTTGATAGTTGCCTTTTTCTCCCATTGGCCCCTTTTATTTGGTAGGTTTTCTGTGAGCGTATGAAGAAGGGGTGCTTAGCCTAGAAGGTTAGGGAAAACAGATCTGTTTTGAGGTTGAAAAGAGTCATATTGGCCATGAAGAAGTATTAAATTCTACCTACCAAACAGGGTATCCGACCCCTGATAATATTGAATCCCAAAAGGTTACTTATTCATTTTTATATGCACAGCATATGTTTAAAGGAAAGAATTTGTTCTTTGTAATTTTTTACTAGATGAACTATTTGCTTGCACATTCTCCAGTTTGACTAGGAAGGAATATATGAATCAAAGATCAGTTTAAAACTGATCCCCTATCCTTCCAGATGAACCATTTTTAAACTAAGTCAGTACTTTATAAACACACAAGAAATAAACAACAAAACTTAAAAGGGCCAAATCATATTGAGTTCTGAAAAAGATGTGCCCCCACTAAAAGAGTAGTTCAGATTTGTTTGTTTGTCTGTATCTAGACTCCAAGGGTTTAGATTTAAGGAATATATGGCCTTAGAAAAATATGTTGTGGCTTAGAGCTGTGGTGCTTACTGAATGAAGCTTGTTATAAGCATAGCTTTTCTGAAGGGGAGATTAAGCCTGATTACTAAGTAGCCAAGATGGTCAGAGATCTTCATAAAATGAACATCTTTATTATGTTTTTTAGAAGTCTAGTAGCTTTTAAAAAAAGAAAAGGCTGATTAATTCTCCATTCTCTTCCTTTTACAGAGTACTGCGAGGTTCAGAGTTTGCTAGTTGAAGGGGCAGATGAGTTTGCTTAGAGATAATTTCCCTCCTTTTGATCTGTGTGTAATTTCCTTACTTGCTGCCTGCTGTCTAGCAGGAGCTGAGGTGTAAAGATTGCACACTCGCCCTGCCACCCTCCAGCATAGAGCTCAGTGCAGAATGGGGCTTTTCCTCCTCATTTCTGGCACCTTAACTCCAAGGGAGACATTGAAAACAAGCAAGTGCAACACTGAAATACAGTCCTTTTCTTAGCTTTTCCCATTCTATCCCCTAGTTGCTGCTGCTCATCTCTGCTCTTAATTCCATATTAAAAGTTTTCCGTCTATGTGCATTCTTCAGTATTTTGTATTTCAGCGGACACCCTGTGTTCTGAGGCACCTCCTTGTAGGAAGGTGATTCTAGAGTAATTCTACCTAGATAAATCATCCTTCCCTAGGGGAGGTGTCTTATACTGTTTTTGAATAATAGGGCAGGGTTTGAGTAGAAAGTTTCAAACCTCTTGGATGGTTCCTGTGATTTTTCTCAGAGCTTCACAGAATTGATACTGCTGTCTCTGTGGGCCTGCATAGTATTGAACTTGGGAATAATCCTTTCTAAGTTGTTATCAGTGATTCTCAAACATCCCTGATATTTCATCAAGTTTGTGGAATACAGGAACTCACTGTTCACACATGACAGGTTGCAAGAATAACCCGTCTGGCATAGGAAAATTGGTTCTATTTCATAAGCTTAATAGAAGGAAGTTTTTAGTTTTGTTAAAGTATACATTTCAATATTTCTGCCAGCTTTTTTTCATTTCATTTCTAAGGTCTAATATACCTCCTAAATTTTTTTAAGATGCTTCCTTTACTGTTCTTCCTGCCCCCTTCTTTCTTCTTCCATCTTACCCCTACTACATTAAAATTTTTTTTTTGTCTTACAGGTGTGGTAAGACAATGTAATTTAGTGTATTCATTGCTAACCTTTTGGTACTCTTCAGTCTCTATTCTTGTTAATTATAGTTAAATACTATAATTATGTAATTATATAATGATGCCTAGAAGACAGACATCAGAGGCCAAAATGTTCTGTATAGATGGCAACTTTTAAAGTATTTGGGGAGGGGCCGGTCCGGTGGTGCAAGCGGTTAAGTGCGCACTCTCTGTTGCGGCGGCCTGGGGTTCGCCGGTTCGGATTCCGGGTGCGCACCGAGGCACTGCTTGGCAAGCTATGCTGTGACGGCGTCCCGTATAACGTGGAGGAAGATGGGCATGGATGTTAGCCCAGGGCCAGTCTTCCTCAGCAAAAAGAGGAAGATTGGCAGATGTTAGCTCAGGGCTGATCTTTCTCACACACAAAAAAAACATATTAAAAAATAAAGTATTTGGAGAGCTATAAAGTGAAATGGATAAAGTTCTTTGTAAATGTCATCAAAGTTAATTTTTCAAATAACTTAAAGAGTAGGATTGGTGACTTGTTTGTTACAACAGGAGAAAGATGTTTGCCTCCCTTTTGCTTCAGAGCAGTAGCTTTATCTCCAATAAGAATTTGAAATATTTTCAAGCCATAGATGGGGTGGCGTCTGAGGTATTTTCAGACTATATTTTCCTGCCCTCTTGTCATTCTCCTCACTGTCTGTCCATTAATCTCTGCCAAATGACTGATGGGCGAGATTTGTTTCCCCTGCCCTAGGCACAGGTGGTGGTTTTGACTTTTTACACCAGGCTTCTATGTTTTCCCTTAAGTATTTTTTGTTAGCTTTGCCTTTGATTTATGCTATGCGGGATTGCTGCTTTCTTGTTTCCACATTCACCTACTGGATAGTAAACCAAGCATTTCCACACGGGTAGTACAATCACAACTGAAGATTTTAAAGTGTTCCCCCAAGGAATTTCCACTGCTTGAGATACCTGCTCCTGCCTTTGGGGATTTACACACTCCATATGGACCTTTGCCTTTCAAGTAATGCAGAGAGATTGATTTTGCTGAATGACTCTTCTACCCATGGACGCTCCTGATTGCCTTTTAGATAGACATGTGTGCATGAGTGATCTTTAAAGAGTGAAGCGTTTACATGCCTATCTCCTCTACTGGTTTGCTTAGTGTAACTAGCTCCTGTGCTGACTATGCCTAATTATAACCCCTGTGTACACAACATTGCCTAGAATACTTCTCAGGGGAAGGTACACTAGAAGAAGACTGTAGTTGTTGACATTCCTTGGTTTTATCTAGCTCCTAGGCACTCAAGCACTTTCTGAAACTGGCAAATGACCTTTTCTGCTACATCAACTTCTAGATACCAGTCCAAGCCCTTAAATTCCAGAAAAGAATAGCCATAGAGTTTAGCATTATGATGAAAAACATTTCCCAGAGTAATAAACCAACAACCCTGGGTTCACATCTGTCACTTGGTTTTGTTGCTTTCAGTGGATATAAAAGGCATTGGAGTGCAATAGTATGGTGCAGTGTGTTCTTTATTTGTCACAGTGGAAGCATTTATGAAGTAATCTGGAATGTAACATATTTTTCTCTCTTTAAAAGGTAAATAGTGCATTGCTTTGAGGATAGAGATGGAGTGTGACTTTTAGGCCTTTGAAAAATGTCTTGCTATTTTCATTTAGACAAAAATTTTAATTCTTCCAGCAAATTATTTGCTTAGCTAGAATGAATATAAACAAGTACACAGCCCTGTGAATCAGACAGTAGCATCAAACCAGACTTCTGATATGTATTTTAGTAAAAATGGAAATAATCATTGATCAGCTCTCCAGGGTTTTGTTAAGCTTAAAAGCATGTGTTTCGTGTACATTTGCCATTTTCAGTTTTATCTGCCTTAACAACAGATGCAAAACAGAGAGCGTTCATGAGAGAAGTAATTGTACTGAACATGTATCGTAGAACTCAACACCAAAAGGCTTATAAATGTCTGGATATTTTTTAAGCATTTAAATCTTTTGAGAACTGACAGTTTTGTATAGTAATTTAGGAGCTTAAATATTCTACTTCAATATTATAAAAAATAAAAAAGTCCTAGAGAGAACTGAAGAAGCTGTCACTAGTAGATATTAGTTATAGATATTACTTATAATATTAGAAGAACAGATTTATACTCAGATCTCTAGTGGTGAGAATAAATGAGATTAAGTGCTCTGAGGGTATGGATACTATCAATAAGTTTATAAAATAGTTTGATTATGTTATAAACCACAGACTTATTTTGGAAAATGAAACATCTGAACCTCTCTTGGCAGAAATAATTGGAGGGGAGGATATTTTGGGTGGCTTTGATTCTCTCAAATGTGACTAGCTGTAAAAAACCAAACCTCTCTTTTCTAAGAGTGGGTAGCAAGCAAGTTAATACAGCTACCTTGTTACAGAATACGCTCATCCCCTGAGCACTCAGAAAACAGGATCCTTCATAGTGCTGTTACCCCTGTGACTTCATATTCCATTAATAAAGAAGATGAGTAAGTTGTAGCTCATGTATGAGGCCTTTTTGATTTTTAATGGGAAAAGTCTTTTTGGTGACTTATAGATGAGCTTTAAACAACTCTTGTCAATGAGATACAGAAGGGGGAGAGTGAGTATGGAGCCTCAAACCACTACTTCTTCACTCTTCCTTTTCCTTTTTGAAGCATACAACATTTATAGCTGTGAGCATTTCTAAGATTTATAGCATTCTTACTGGTTTTCATGCAGAGCAGCAATATCACATCCCAACCCCTGTTGCTGTTTATATTAGCAGCAATTAAAATCTGATTTACTAATCCCTCATTGCTGCCACTCCAACTCCTCATTTTTCATTTTTGTAGAGCCTTAGGACTGTTACAGCTGAACATCATGATGTTAACACCTCCTCAGCCATCTGGCACAGGGGAAGAGGCATCTAAACAGATTCTTCAGAACAAAAATCACATATGAGCAAGATCAGAATAGTGTGAGATCTAAAAAACAGGTAAAGAAGGAGTGAAGAGAGCCTGAATGAAAGCAAGGGTGAAAGCAGTAACTCCAAAAGGTTTTGAATTGAAAGCCCTCCTTTTCCTGGGAAAAGATCTGCCTTTTGCTTTCCAGAAGAAAATAATTCATGGTAGTCGTATCTAAACTTTTTCTAATTCTAGCCTAGAGGCTGTTAGCTAGAGGAATCAGAAAAACATTGTAGCCTTATTTTTTTCCCCCATCTTTTCATATTCTTGACTAATCAACCTGCTCTTGAAGAGATACTTTGTTCATTCTTGTAGATAAGAAAGCATATTCCAGCCACTGCCGCTGCTCATTTTATTTTAGTTGAAAGTCTCCGGTAGGTTTATGTTGAGAGTAGTGGGCTCCCTATTTAAGGAAAAGGCATATTATCTTGACTCCTAATGCTAAGAATTTTCTGTATTGACTACTGTTTATTTAGTTAGATCTTTAATCAGTGAAATGATTTGTAAGTATGATGGTTCCTTTGTCCAACAATCTTAACATTCTGCTTAGTGTCTACTGAAGTTTTACTAATATGGAAGCTAAAAGATGATTCCAACTTTTGATTTTTTTTTTCCTCTTTGGTGATTATTGTTTGTGTCTGAGTGAGGATGGTATGCTGTAGATTGTCATGTATTGGCTCATTAGGCTGAAATGAATATAGCCAAGCTAACTTCTTCCTCAGTGCCTTGCAGTGGTTGTTAGTTTAAAATCCAAAACAAAAACAAAACCTTCAGGGTCACTAATGTACTTGATTTCGTTATTGCTTGCTGTTGCTTCACCTTTCCTTCCATATCTTGCTCTCATGCATCCTAATGCCTGAGCAGACTGCATCGTCAGAGCGCCGAGGAGAGTGGGAAATCCAGCCCAGCCGGCAGACCAATACCTCGTACCTGACGTCTCACTTGGCTGCAGACCGCCATGGGGGATCAGTGCAGGTACTTACTGCCTTTATTGCCTTTTCCTGGCCTTCCCAGCTTGGCTGGTAGAATCTTGGCTTGCTTCTGAAACTCGGGGTCCTTTCGGATGGAAACTTACAGCAAGGTTGAGCTCCCTTTATAGTTAACTGAATATCTGTGTGCTGATTTTCTGCCTACGTGGACTTGTAAGAGTCACTTGTTGAGATGATTGCTGGTTGTTTTCATTGATTAAGAAATGTCTGTATGATTTCTGATAATGATTTCTGGTTAAACCACTCCTACTACCTTGATCCACTCATGATAAACCATAAAAATAACATCAAGGTAGAAGTCTATTAGTGTCAAGTCTGTGAATTTGTAGTGTCAAGTCTGTGAATTTGTAAAGACCTGAAACGTATAAATTAAGTATTTTTTGGATAGAGGACTGCATATGTAGTTCATTCCATGTGCCTTAGCACATAAGGTGAGAATGTTAATTGGTCCAAGTCAGCCGTTTCTGAGTGAGTACCCAAGAAGTTGGGCTGTTTCTTTTTTCTCCCTGGAATAAGTGTGGTCTTGGAGAATTATTTCTGATTTCATTTGGACTATTTTAAATTTCTATTCTCTCTAGTACATAAGAACATCTTGTGTCTCTTAACTTTTCTTATATGTCATTGTCTTACTAATCTTAACCTAAATATTTTTCTCATACTAGTAAGTGACACTATCAGTTTGGGCACACAAGTGCAACCCAGAGCTACCAAATATAAATTCTTATAAAGGAATAGACAAGCCTTTTGCGCACAGAAATACGTCTTAATAGGCTTGATTGTCTAGGATATGCTTTTACATGGAATGATTCACTGAAGATCGTGTTAGTCACAGAAAGTTAGAAGACAGCTTTGGCCCTGTAAAAACCTCATAGGAACATCTAGGTAAAAATGATGACTTGAACACACAGATCTACTCTCACTTGCTCCTGAAACAGCAGTAAAAGAATGACAAAGGGATTTTTTTTTAAAGGCATAAATCCGTATAAGGATGGAGAAAACAGAAGAGGAAGCAACAAGAACTAAATGTTAGAAGCTGCAAAGCAGATGGGCAATTATTAAATGACATAGGACTCCCAAGAAAACTGAATCCTGAGCCAAGAGAGGGGAAAGCTGAGAGCCTATTTACATGGGGGAATTCTCAAAAGGCTCAGAAATTGGCCCTTGAGGGGTTGTGAGTGTGGAGGGGCATGTGCTAAAATAAAGAAGATTGATTGAAAGTCAGAGATCCCTAGATTCTTTCCTCCTCCCCAGCAAAGACCAAAGATTTATTCTTTGGAATGGGCAAAATAGAGGGTCTCTGGGTTACAGGATATGAGGCACATTTGAGGACAGAATACTATACTGAAAAAAGGGAGATTAAATGAATGTGTACATCCTGACTGCCTGCTTTCCCCATTTAGTGCTTCAGAATGCTGATAGCCAGGTATGTACCTTCCAGGCAGGAGATTGAGTCGGCTCTGGGGAATCTGACCAGGCCGAAAGAAAACATCTGAGCATACTGACAACAGGGTTTTCCTAATGAAATGGCCCAGCCACATCATTCTGCAGTGAAATCCACACTTAAAAGTGCCACTCCTGTACTCACAGTGCCAATTAACTGTGCAGTCTCCCACTTCTAAATATGAGCAGACAGAGCCGGCCCCGTGGCTTAGCGGTTAAGTGCGCTCCGCTACTGGCGGCCCGGGTTTGGATCCTGGGCACGCGCTGACGCACCGCTTCTCCGGCCATGCTGAGGCTGCGTCCCACATACAGCAACTAGAAGGATGTGCAACTGTGACGTACAACTATCTACTGGGGCTTTGGGGAAAAAAAAACAAGGAGGATTGTCAATAGATGTTAGCTCAGAGCCGGTCTTCCTCAGCAAAAAAAGGAGGATTAGCACGGATGCTAGCTCAGGGCTGATCTTCCTCACAAAAAAAGAAGAAAATATATGAGCAGACAATCAAGGATTATCAGGCTTTCTGAGGAAAGCTTTTAATAAGATAGAGACCAAAGCAAACAACAGCAACAAAAAACCCTTGTTATTAATATCCCTAGAGACAGAAGATATTGCGACTGTGAAGCAAGGACAGGATGCTATTTTATTTTATTATTTTTTTGTGTGTGAGGAAGATCAGCCCTGAGCTAACATCTAATGCCAATCCTCCTCTTTTTGCTGAGGAAGATTTGCCCTGGGCTAACGTCTGTGCCTACCGCTTGATAAACAGTGTGTGAATGTGCGCCCGGGATCCGAACCTGTGAACCCTCGGGCCACTGCGGTGGAGCGCGCGCACTTAACTGCTATGCCACCAGGCTGGCCCCAGGATGCTTTTTTTTTTTTTGTGAGAAAGATCAGCCCTGTGGTAACATCTGCCTATCCTCCTCTTTTTTTGCTGAGGAAGACTGGCCCTGGGTTAACATCTGTGCCCATCTTCCTCCACTTTATATGGGACACCGCCACAGCATGGCTTGCTAAGTGGTACATCGGTGCGCATCTGGGATCTGAACCGGCGAACCCCGGGCCGCTGTAGTGGAACACGTGCACTTAACCACTTGCGCCACCGGGCTGGCCCCAAGATGCTATTTTAAAAAGGAACATTCTAGGGGTGGGCCCCATGGCATAGTGGTTAAGTTTAGCATGCTCCACTTTGGTAGCCCAGGTTTGTGGGGTTCAGATCCCGGGGGCAGACCTATACCACTCGTCGGCCATGCTGTGGCGGTGACCCACATACAAAATAGAGGAAGATTGGCCCCAGATGTTAGCTCAGGGCGAATCTTCCTCAGTTAAAAAAAAAAAAAAAAAAAAACATTCTAAGAGCAAACCAAAAAAAGAGCTCTTGGAAATTAAAAACATAATATTGTAAACAAAAATTTAAAACTTAATAGTTTGGAAGATAAAGTTGTGAGGAAGTCTCCCAGATAGTAGAGCAAAGAGACAGAAAAATGAAAATAGTAGAAAAAAATATAAGATTTAAGGAGAGTCCAGGGGGTCCAGTTTCCAGTGGGAGTTCCAGAAAGAGAACAGATAAAGTGGAGGGGAGGAAATCATTAAGAGAATAATTTCACAGAACTTGTAGAGACTTGTTTCAGCATCAGAAGGGCTTACTGGGTACCCAACATAACGGATGACAGAACAACACTAGAGTACATCATTGTGAAATTTCAGAACACTGAGGACAAAGAGAAGATCCTTCAAGCTTCCAGAAGGAAAAAACAGTCACATGCAAAGAAAGGATCAGGAATTAGTATATGTAACTTCTGTTTTTGAATGGCTGTACTGGAAGTTAGAAGGCAATGTACAGTGCCTTCAAAATTCTGAAGGAAAATTTTTTCCAACGTAGAATTCTGTACTCAGCCAAACTGTCTATCTGGTTGGAATATAGAATAAAGATGTGGGGCCGGCTCCGTGGCATAGTGGTTAAGTGCGCGTGCTCTGCTGCTGGTGGCCCGGGTTCGGATCCCAGACGCGCACTGATGCACCACTTGTCAGGCCATGCTGTGGCGGCGTCCCATATAAAGTGGAGGAAGATAGGCACAGATGTTAGCCCAGGGCCAATCTTCCTCAGCAAAAAGAGGAGGATTGGCATGGATGCTAGGTCAGAGTTGATCTTCCTCACACACACAAAAAAAATAGAATAAAGATGTTTTCAAACATCCCTGGTCTCAAAAATTTTACTTCTCGTGCACCCTTTCTTATGAAGCTGCAGGAGGGTGTGCACTGTGAAAATGAGTGAATAAACCAAGAAAGAGGAGTATATGGAATCCAAGAAATAAGAGATTCAACACAGGAAAGAAGCAAAGGGACTCTCCAATATAGTGGTAAAAAGTTAGGAGATCCCAGGATGCAGGCGTAGAAGAGGACAGCCTGTCCCAAACAGAGGTGGTCAGGAGGCTTTGAGAGCAATTTTACCAAAATGATGAAATGGCTAGGATACTGATATGTCAGAATATCTTGAAAGTAGCTATTTAGATAAATTGCAGAGAGTTTGGTTAGAATCAGTGATTAGCAACCAATGTATAAAAAGCTAAGTAAAGATAAATTTTAAAAGATAATTAATTAACTTCAAGGAAAACAAATTATACAGGGAAGGAAAAATAACCATGGGATACTTTATGGCACAGCTGTAAATAGCTTTTAATAGTCATAATGTAAACCCTAAGAATTGATCTAGTGAAAATGACAGTATAAACTGTAATGGAAGAATAGAAGGATGGAAAAGGTGACCATAATGCCTAAAAATGATGACTCAGGTGCGTGTCATTCAGAGATATGGAGGTAGAAAACAAAGGAATCAGCTATAGAGGAAGGGAAAATGGTGGAGTGGAGGAGAGACTGCTGTTTTTCCTGACAGTCCTTGTAGAAACACTTGATTCTTTACACAAGGTGCTTATATGACTTGATAAAATAAAACTTAATGTAAATATTATATGTACATATATACACATAATAGTTTTTGTCTATCACATTTACAAAAATTTGTAAGTTTAATAACAGCCTATCCATCTACTGTTGTTGAAATGTGAATTACAGCTATTTTGGAGGGTAATTTGGCAATATCTGTTAAAATCTTAAATATCTACACTTTTTGATCCAGTGAGTCTAGTTTCAGATACATATCCCTCAGAAATGCACAGATACTAAAGATATATGTTCTAGAACAATACTGTTAAAAGAAATGAGTCACATTTGTAATTTTAAATTTTCTAGTAATCACATGAAAAAAGTAAAAGGAAACAGGTGAAACCAAAAATATATTTAACCCAATATGTCTAAAATAGTTCAACATAAAGTCGAAATTAAAAATATTACAGATATTTTCTTATTTATGTATTTTATTTTTTACTAAATCTTTGAAATCTAGTGTGTTTTTTACATTTACAGAACATCTCAATTTGGACTAGCCACATTTTAAGTGCTCAGTAGCCACACGTGACTAGTAGCTACTGTATTGGACAGTCCAGTTCTAGAATGTTTATTGCTGGCTTGTTTCTAATCCCGGAAAATCA